ATTTTGCTCTCGCAAAGTGTACACACTTGTCAGACAATATGTTGACGAAATATATCGAGCGCGAGACAACTTCCGCGGTCACATTCGCGCGCATTTGATTGTTTTCATTCAAATGAAAACCTCTCTCTGCCTATTACTATTCAGCGTTTCCGATCGCAGATTGTTGTGCACGCGACACCGTCCGCATTTCATAGGAGCTCCGTAATTACCGGGAGCGCGGGACGCCGGCGCCAGGAGTACGAACCGAGATTTCGTCGACGACGGTGGACATTGCCGCGTCAATGACAATATAATTAATATCCCGATCATCCATACACATATACATTAGGTCTCAATATTGGGATTCAAATATTGTGTATTCTAAAAATCTTGTTTGTAAATTTTTAAATCAATTTGAAAACAATTTATGTGACAATTTTTGCACTTTGCAATCTTACTTGGAGGACAAAATAATAATACGAAGTTGCGTTTTTAACCCGGTAAATTAATTTCGTTAAATTAATTAAATTTGGCGTGCCAAAAATATAATTTATAATTAAATTATTATGCTTGACAATTCTTTTGTCTTTTCAAGAAATAAATTCTCTGCTCTTCCAATATTTCTATTTCATTTTATATTTATCCCGTTTTATTATTAAATTATTATTAATGTGATCGGATTAGCGTATCTAAAATATTATTAAAATTAATTTCCTAGTCTTAAATGCTCTTATTTTCTGTTGAAAAATAACGATCGCAGGAATGCTCATAAATATTCAGAAGCGCCGCTCGGGATATCTCGGAATAATAATACATGGTGTCCCGGCGTCGTGATGACGAACGGGAAGAGAGAGAAATCGTAAATCATTTTACCTTATACGTCATTCCACGACCTTGAAGCCGAGGGTGACAGCGATTCCTGCACTTCTGTTGATTTTGCGACACTTTTCCACCTTTGCTCTGCTCATAAGGCAATCCGAGCGAGATAAGACAAAAGGAAAAGAAAAGGAAGGAAGAAAGAGAAAAAGGGGAAAAGGTCAGACGATACGGAAGAGATGGAAGGCACGGTAGAGGAGCACTTGTTTTACAACAACACACTATCCTCACACTCGAGATCACTCTCCCTCTTTCCCGGGCCCTTCCACGTGCGCGAGACGTCGGCCCTTACGAGGATACGAGATATCGAAACGTCCGCACGAACATTCCGTTGGTATCGCGTTGGTATCGTTCCTCGTCGACGTATCCAAGATTCACCGGAAGCTTCTCGTTTCTGCACCTTGTGAAAAACCACGTGCTCGGATAACGGTCCCGATACGTTCTCGCACCCGATACCGTGACGTGTGTCCCCTTTTTTTAAAGCAGCAGATTATTCCACACACCGCACCAAACAGCCTCCCGTTTTCTCGAAGAGAACAAATTCCTCTTCCTATCCCTCCTGACTAGAGAGTCCTTCCTTCTGTCTTCGTGCTACGATCGGGCACTCATAGATGATAATCGACAATCTCATTACAGTTCGTTCGTGGTGATCGTGGCGATCCGATCCGAATGACCGATTCCCGTGGGATCATACACCGCCGATGCGATGCCCGGATGTGTCTCGAAACGCGTGTGTCGTGCCGACAGGACAGTCGAGTCCTGACTGTTGATTTCTCTCACGGAAGAAACGACGGAAGGAGCCAACCACGTTGCTCACCACCGTCCGGCGATCGTTTGGTGCCCGTGCTCTGTTGTCCAGGTCCTCTCTCGAGGCGTGTGATATCGCCCCCCCCCTTGCCTCCCTCTCTCGCTCTCTCTTTCTCTCTCTTGCTCTTTCGTTCGTGCCGCGGATGAGGCGGAATATCAGCGAGAACCGAGAGCGCTCTCGGAGGAGATTCGTGAGACGCGACGAGAGCGGAGTGGTCCGTACGGTGGTGAGTAAGCTATGTGCCGATGTGTGAAGCGGGCGATACCGCGCGTACGAACGTCGCACACATACACACACGCGACGTACACAAATAAGCGGGTATGTACCGTCGTGAGTACCGTCGATTGGGCGGGGAGACTGAATCTGTAGGCTGCGGTGCGGGTAGGTTAGTAAGTAGGTAGGTAGGTAGGTAGGTAGGTAGGTAGGTGAGCTACACACCGCGGGAAATAGCTATACACCGTGGAGACGCCGCACACGGAGGAGGGAGGGAGGGGGGGGGACGTTGTTTGTACGTGCACGCGCGCGCGTTCGCGTATACGTATATTAGAGTGCCCGTTCTTTCTCTGTGTGTGTGTGTGTGTGTG